CCACTCCGGGCTGGACCAGACTGGACTGACCTTGCTGTGAGACTGATTAGTTATTAACTGAGATCAATAATAGGATTGGACTGACTGCTGTGAGCTGGACCATCAGCTCTCACTTCTGTCAGTGAAACAGTTCCTCAGGTAAAGCATTACCGGAGTGTTTAATCCAGGATTCAGTCCTGGTCCTGGAGGATCCCGGAGCTATTCCAAGATAAACCGGCTCAGTACAGCCTTGGCTGGACAGATTTAACAGCAGCTCAGAGCTCATCCGATTCTGCTACGTCAGAGAGAAGCCGTGCAGACGCACTGTCCAGCCCCCAGGACCAGGACTGGTCAGGCCAGTGAGAGAGGCGCCCTCTGGTGGCGGCAGTAAGTATCAGCCAGCCAAGCCAGGACTGGTGGTGTGGAATTTTGTCTTTTTTTTGTCCCTCACAGAGCTCAAGTCCCACACCAGTCCGTCCGGTTCGAGTGCGCAGGTCCCACCAAAAATCCATCGCCAGCAAACACCTGCTGCCGAGAGATTTTCATCGTTTTCGGAAAACATAAGAGAGATTTTTCAAATGGAACGTGAAATATTAAAAAAAAAAACAGGATAAATGTGGGTACATAGACTATAGAGCGTGAGAGAAGTGCCCTGGAGGACAGAGGCAGGCTGACAGGACGGGGGGGCACAGTGGATATTGGTCCCAGAATGCAGCAGTAGCCCCCCCGGGAGCCGCACGCCTCACGCACAGCTCCGCCAGAACAGGAAGTGGTAATCAGAGAAGAGAGGCGTCGCTGCCTCCTCTTCAGGCTGGCTGTCACAGGTCACCTCCTGCTGGGAAATGAGAGAGGGGTCAGAGGGCATGGGGAGGTCACCGAAAGGGCACAGGTAGATTTCTCACCTATGAGCAGCACTTGGACAGACAGTGACTGAATTCAGATGGCTTTGAATTTGACTATTGCCAACTGACACAGGCTGACACTCTGACAGACTGGGCTGTGAGACACTGACACACTGACAG